GGTATAGATATATAAATGCATATCTTTGAGATTATCATTTAGCCCATTATACTACAATCTTACCCACTTGAGACAGGAGCTGGAAGACACCTCAACACAAAGTGAGCACCCTCAAAGCATGACCCAACTATAAGAAAAAAGGACTGGAATAATTCTACCCAATAGGTCAAAATGTGTCTATTCCAAGCTCTGGGTGGGGAATAAGTACTTTCCAAGAAAAATAGAAATGCCAAGGGCACACACACCACATGTGAGTGTGAGGTTCAAATGTATGCTTGGTGTGGGGTATGAATTGCAAAACTGGAAGTTGAAATGGGTTTTCTAGAAACCATGGAAACCCTCAGTCACTAAAAGAAGTATAAAATCATCTATGAGGACACATTCAGTATTCAGGGAACACAGAATTCCCACAGAAATTATTTTACTTCAAGGACACTAGAAGAGCTAGGTTCTGGTTGCAAATGTGGCATTACTAAGCAATGTGGGCCCAGGTTTTCCATGTTGATAATAGTGACTCTAACACTCCCTCAGGAAAGGCATTCCAGAAATAGCATGAGAAATTAAAAAGCTCTGTATAAAATGATACCATTTATAGGTAAACATACAAAAATATATCATGCACATAATGAACAAAAATCTGCACATTTTTCCTTCAATCCAGCATGTACAACTACAAGAGATTCTTCCAAATAACTTACCTGGTTTGGATACATTCAGAAAAGATTGTTCTGTACCATAGAAAGCAAGAGCAATATAAATGTGAACATTTGTCACCTTTAAACATCAAATGAAGAGATTTTTTAATATTTAGAAACTCACTGACATTCCCCCTAGAAAGTCATTTCCGAATACCCTTTAAAAAGTGAATGTGTAATGGAAAATTTAAGTTTCCTATTCACAGTTTCATGCCACCGTGTTTCCTTACTTTTGAAAATCAATAACAGGCTATTAATCATTTCTCACAAAACCCAGAGACTTCAGATGCTTTAAAGGTGAACTACAAAATTTAGAAGGGGTATTCAAGGAAGAACATGTCCCCTATTGTGGAAAAACCAGCCAATGAGTTACAGATAATCATAGGTGATGTGAGTTATTAAATTTTCATGGTCATGTCTCTTGGGGCTTAAAACAGAGAACTCAGACTTGGGAGGTGTCACAATAAGCCAATATGACCCTCACATAATAGGTAATGCTATAATGGTAAAACAGGTTTTTAAACAGGGCTTTGCTCTCTGGAACACAGCCCAGGAGCAAGAATATTTGGGGGGTTATTGCTGCTATAATTAATGTCTTTCTACCTTTTGTTTTGCTGACATCTTCACAGTTAATGTGGCAATGTTATAGTGGGAAAGCACTACCAACAGAAAAGAATTTGTGTCATAAGAGGCAGTCTAAATGGGAGGTCTACTTTTCCCACAAGTGAGACTATTAAGAAGAGGGTCCAAAAGAACTTCTACAAAGTGGTACCCATATTATTTTACCAAGCCCTCTGTCTTGTCCATATTTATATTGCAATATATAAGAAGCATTAATAAAGATAGATCAATGGCAGCTGATGAATTTATAGCTTAAATACAGTGGTTCTCAAACTGTAACATATCAGAAGCTTCTGGAAGACTTGTTAAAAACACAGCTTGCTGGACCCACACCCAGAGTTTCTGATTCTGCAGTTCTGAGATGGGGTCATAATTTGCATTTCTTTCAAGTTTTCATGTGTAGCTAAAATTGCTGCTCAAGGGTGACACCTTGAGAACCACCAGTTTAAAACAAGAAGTTTTTGACTAATTATAAACAATTATTGAGAACAAATATCTTGTTTTGGGTTCTCAATAAAACTATTTGAGTGAAGACTTCACTTGGTTCAAATACCAGGAGAGTGAAGCATAAACGTAGACAGGATTATAAAGATGATAATAACAGCAATGATAACAACTAGCTCTATTACTACAAGCTAGGCATGCTCTCTTATCTTCACAGGAACCTTTAAGGTATCTATTATTGAGCCCATTTTTTAGATAAAGAAACTAAGGATCACCCAATGGACTATGGTGGAAGACTATGGATACATTGTTGATAGGTGTGGTGTGGTAGCATATAGCTAAAGAGGTGTGACCCTATACCTCTGAGTCACGTCCAGTGTGGTACACCAACATTACATCAATGAAGAAAGACAAATAAGAAACTGAAGTTCGGATCTTTCTCAGGACAAAACCAATACATTTTCCTATTCAACTTGAGTAGGAAAAAATAAGATGGCCACCAGCACTCTTAGATAAAGATTTTAAAAGTCAGCTCCCTACTGACAATATATTGTTGGTTTACTCTAGAATAGCACAGAAAGAAATACCAGTGTATTCTACCTAATATTGACTGTGGATGGGCTAATACAAACATTCCACATGCCTGTATAAGGTTACCCTGCTATGTTGTGATATTTTCTTCTCTGATTCTTTCGTTATTATATTCCAAAACTCAAAGTTAAAGAGTTCTTCTAGATAATACTTACGATCCAAACAATATCACAGGCTTAGTTCTGAGACCCTGTGAAGGCTTAGCCTTTGTTGGAACCAAAGATAATTGGTTCCTCATAGAATCTGTGCCCTTCAGTGCTTAGTCCTCTCTGAGTTGGTTATAAAAGCCACTCTTGTCTCTATTGGAAGCAGCATCTGTGGGTTTGGGAAGTGAAAAAGTCGACTGTAGCCAAAGCTTAAAGCTTTTTCTTTCCTCTCATTTATACTCATGTGAAGGAACAATCAGAATTACTGAACTCAAGCCAGATTGTGGTTGACTAAAGACAGATGTCTCTCTCCAGTGCTAATCAGCAGAGATGTACTGTCAGCCCAGGACTGGATGTGCAGTTGGACACATTCTGAAGAAAATACCTTGGCACAGGTCACATGATACAAGTGTGGGGAAGGAAGGAACACAAAGAATGTGAAAAAATGCAAAAGGCATATGTAGTACCATTTCTATTTGACTGAAAATTCTCTTTTTTAGCCTTTGTTTTCATTTTTAGGTAATCCTTAAGAAGTGGCCAGCACACTAATACCCTCTAAAGCACCATTTTTTGGTAGATAAAGGAAAATGACATGAGAGCAGAAAAAGACTCTTCGGTGTGAATTAATTTATTCAGCTGAGGGGGTAGGATAATCACCTCCAACTAGGGCAACTTCAAGTTGTAATTAAGAGTAACTCTCCATGTTGTGGGCTGAGTGACATCTGGTGCCTGTCCTGGAATCCAAACAAGTCATCAGTAAGACACTTTAATTAGTGCACAAACTCCACACTCCATGATAGCATTGCTGGATCCCACAGACTAGGGCAAGAGGCCAGATTTTGATGCTTTCCCCTTTCTCAAACAAAAAAGCATGCTTCTCTTTCCCCAAAAAAGTTTTAACATTCCTTTTTCTCTTTGGGCAGCATGCCAAATAAAGGCTTTCACATTTCAAATAGTTATTGATCCAACTGATTTATGAATAAAAGGAGATAGAGGCAAATTATTAGATGTGTTTTTGTCCTGCTGCTTATGATTTGATTTGAAATGCTTTTGTATCTAAGTCAAAATAGAGCAAGTCTGCCCTCTAGAGCCAGTCCCGCCCCCCATGGAAAAACCCACCAGTTCACAATACAGCCCAAGAAAATGGAAACCTGTTTCCTATGCCACTTCCAAGTGAACAAATCAAGGACAAGGTGCCACCTTTTAGATGGATCTGGATCCCATTCCTAGGGAAATTGTCAGATTTAAGGCTAAAAAGACAGCACTGAGAAAAATTACACAGGACTAGGAGTCAGGGCACATGGGCTCTAGGGGCAGCTCCACCATTCACTATTTATTATAAGCTAATTTATACCAAGCCTGTTAGAAAAGGACTTGAAGCAAAAGCTAATTATTCACTAACTTTGTCTTGAGCAACGCTTTTCAACTCTCTGGGTCTCAGGTTCTTTATCAGTCCATGTGACCAGAGGAGGTATGCTCTAATGCACTTCCAACATTAAATCTCTATGATCAATTATCAACATTACCAATGGTGATTTAGCTTTGCTCTGCAATTTGGAGTTTAGCTTTCACACACATCATTCCTCTCATTTGATCCTTGCAACTGTCCTGTGAGGTAGGCAGGACAGGTAAGAAAACAGATCATCAAAAATGCTAACAGCCAGGTATTATTTGCCAGTTTTTCTTATATCCTTTTCACTACACAAAAATGTTGGAATAGGCTATATACAAATGGCTCCATGAGAATACAGGAATTTTAATAATCTTCCCTTTACCACTTACTGAGCTTTGGTATCCTTGTGTGTTTAATAAGGATGCTGGAGTAGACAATTTTTTGTGTCCCTTGCAGTTTCACCATTGTATGAATTAATGAAACACAGAGAAAATTATTCAACATTAAGTCAACTTCTGATCTGATCCCCTGCCTCGATAACCTACCTAAACAAAAGCCCAATTTCTGTAAACATAAGGACCACTCAGCCCTCACCAGAGCAATAGCTGATACATCTCCAGACACTGGCCTACCATTGAATCTTTGCAATCTCCTGATGCTATTCTCTACCTTCTCATAGGCTTGCTTGGATATCTACCTCTCCTGGGGTGTCTCCCTCTCCAGCTGTCAGCTCAATACTTTCTAGATACTTGCCCGTCCCAATCTAAGTTCCAGGCTACCTTTCAAAGCTAGTTGTTCCTCCTCTCTACTCCTTCCTTTTTCTTTCTTAAAGAGCCTGTGACCTTGGCAGAGTTGGCAAAGGTCTAATCTGGTGTCACTTGGTAAATAGGAAACTAGCGAGTCCAGATGTGAGTTGACTGATGGAATCCAGGTAACCAAAATAGTTGACATTAAAGAATACGCTTTTTAATCATAATCTAATAACTATCTAATGACTTTAGAGATTGCAGAGTGCTCCAGAGATCTGCTTACATTCTGAGTGCCTAGTTACATGGCTACAATCACCCTTCTATTTCTATCTCCATGGCAATTGCCTCTTTTCAGAAAACTTTGTCCAGCCAAGTTCCATTTTCATAGATTATGGGAGCAACTTGGAGCCAGGTACCAGTCCTTCCCCCCAAATCACCGCCACATGCATTTTCCACCCCAGTGGGCATATTTCTAAAATTCAGTCCAACTTGCTATTTCCTGCCTCAAACACTGTCAGAGTGCTGTTAAATAACCCCAGCCATTTCAACTTAGCATTTAAGTCTCTCTATGCCTTCCCCAAACCAATCTCATCTCCCACTCAATTCCCTGCTGCTTTTCAAACTCTGAGCTTTCGTCATTACAGTTCTTTGGGCATAAGCTGCCCTTTCCCCAGTTCTACTTGTACACGTTTCTTATTTGTGAAATCTCCTTTGAAATGCCTTCTGCTCCAAGAAATCTTTTATAACTGCCATCCTTGTCACCCATCACTCTTAGTTTATGCAGAATTAATGTTTCCTTATTTTGTCCACTCAGAACATTTTATTTGTATCATTTCTGAATATCTTAGTATCTGATGCCACATTATAATTAATTGAAAACCTGCTGTGTTTCACCTTTCACTAGGTTGGATGATGTGTTGATATTTGTATTTTCCATGAGGTTTAGGACCTGCCTTACACATAGTCCATGTTAATAGACATGTACAGAGTTAGATTATTTTCTCCTGGATAGTCATTATTTTCATAAGAGTCTTCTTTTTCCTCCCATTAAGTGGTTCTTTCAGAAATAAGCAACATTTAAAAAGTGTTTTTAAAAAAAGTAAAGAGGAGCTGGGTGTTCTGGTGATTCTACTAGGTCTTTCCAGGAAAATATTGTCATGTATGACCTCCAGGAAAACATCAGTGGGGATAAATAAGCACCCAAACTTCACTAGTTTTCTAGCCCAACATCTAAGAGCCTCCAGAAATTTCATCTCATCATCCCTTAGTAGTCTCAGTGTTGGGAAACTCACTTTCCTCACTTTTTCATACTGCTCCCTTGCAAAGTAAGTGACTTGAGCAATTTTCCTTCATTGGAGGAAAAAGTAAAAGTGGCTCCTTACTAAACAGGTAGGCTGAGAATATTTATGGCAGTTAATTAAACTCTAACCTAATATTTCTATTTTTAAAGGGGCCACCAATTATTTACTCATTCATTTCCCCTGATGTGCTTTGGAGCATTTTTAAGTACACTGTCAAATGTCAAGCAGAGGTGAGTGGCAGCCTGGAATTAAAGCAGTCACTCTGTGCCTTGGGCTCAGCTTCTCTTGGTCTGTTGGGCACTATGACTTAGAAATGAAACTGTTACGCTCTAATGCTCTGCTCTTTTTTTTTTTCGGTTTTCATTTTAATAACTTTATTGGCATGTCAAGGTAGACAAAGTTGTCAAAGGTGGTATCAAATGGCTAAATAAATCAAAGCTTGATCTACCCTCATTTCCCATTACTTCCCTGTCTATTTCTAACATAACTAGAGTCTATTCACAAATCTCTGATGCTTTGCAAATGTCAGACAGACTTTCAGTTTCTCCTTGAAGATTCTTCCTATCAAGTTATGGAACAAACTCCTCTCTTTCATCTGGAAGCCTGATTGGTCTTTAAACATTAACCTACAAAAAAATTAATTCAGAACATTAGTTTTGTTTCTTATGTAGTTGTGCATAGAAATTAAATGGAGTTTGAAAATGTGAGTGACCACTCTCCATTCCTCCCACCAATTAGTCATAGCTCTTTTGTTAATTAGCATCCTCCAGAAAAAAACAGAATGAAGAGGAATATATATATATGCACATATGTAAAGAGATATTTTATAAGGAATTGGTTCACACAATTATAGAGGGAAAAAAAACCCAAGAATGATAGGATGAGCCCCAGGAGAATCAATAAGTTATTCCTAATTTGAGTCCAAAGGACTGAGAGCCAGGACAGATGATATTGTATTTCCAGTGTGAAGGCCAGTAAGCTCAAGAGACAAGAGGAGTCAATGTTTCAGTTTGAGTCTAAAGGCAGGAAAAAGCTGATGTCCCTGTTCAATGGAAGTAAAGCAGAAGAAATTTTCTTTCTCTGGGCAGGATTAACCTTTGTGTTCTACTCAAACTATCAACTGACCGGATAAGGCCTACCCACATTGGTCCATCTGCTTTACTCAGTCCTGCCAATTTTAATGTTAACCTCTTCCAACAACACCCTGCAGAAAGACCCAGAATAATGTTTGACCAAATATCTGGGCAGCCCATTGCCCAGTCACACTGACACATGAAATTAACCATCACAACCCTTTTTGCCAATGAGCCCAGACAGGCCTCAGCATTTACCAAGACTGTGCTCCAGTCCATTACTCCCAATCAATGAGAGTTGGGACAAGAGCTAAAACTTATTTGCTATCTCAGAGTCTAGTAAAAAGTCATACTAGGTCACTGAAAAGAATTACAGAATGCTAAAGCTAGTCGGATCCATGGTTCATTAAGCTCAATATGCTATTATAGAGACAACTATAAAGGAAGGACTGAGGGAGGGATCGGTGTCCTCTATGACACGAAGCTGAAAAAGTTCTCTCCCCTTGGTACCTCTAATGGGTCTGCAGGTCATAAAATTTACCCAAGGCCATTCTGAATTCTAGTTTGCAAATGAGCAATAACTAAGCCAAGAAAAGTCTTCAGACATGTAAAAGGGTGGGGCTGGCTCTTAGCAACTGATAAATAGACCTTACATTGAGATTTCTTAACACCCCCATACACTTTTTTGTTTGCTTTGCAGTTTTATATACAAAGTCATTCTTTCTGGATTCATAATTCCCCTTGCATAAATTATAGCCACATAATATTTTTGTACCTTCACAGTTAACAAACAGGTATTGAGCACCTATAATGAGTGATATATGTTAGTCCATTTGAAATTCTTCCATATACATCACCCTCACGCACAAAACACCCAAGGAATACTTTTATCTCGGGTTAGCCAGCTATGTGACTCCTCTATCTTTAGTCAGTACTAAATTGTCACTTTCCATTGAAGCCATCTGAGTTGCCATATCTAAAATTACCAATCATTCTTCCCCTCCCTAATAATTATTTTTCCCTCTCCTGCTTTATTTTTTCAACATTTCACCGCCATATAAAGTGGTCTGTATTGTACATATTTTTTATTTTTTATGTATCATTGGAATATAAGCAAGTAAGAATGTTTCTCTATTTCGTGTATTATTGCACTCCAACATCTACAATAACATCCAGTGTTTACTAGGCATTTATATGTATGAAATAAGTGAATGGATAAATACTCTGAGGTAGGTATCATTATTACCATATTACCAATAATGACAGACAAGTACAGAAATATCAAGTAACTTGTTCAAGGTCATAAATGTACCCTTTCCATGAAATGACAGATGGAAAAAATACCTTATTAACTTGCAAACAGCTTCAGTCAGTGGAACATAGATGTACTATACTTTTCACATATATTAACAAGCATATGGGAATCTCTGTCCCTAGGCTTAGTGTGTGTTCCTGGACTCTGGTGACTAGCAGTACTCTTCCAACTGTCTATGTCTAATATGCCTTAACCAAATGACAGCAGCAAATATATTCCAGGCAGATAAAGTCATGTTAATTTCACTCAATTCCATAACAACAATAACTTGCCATTGTAAAGCTCTTAAATCTTTTTCATATATGTTTTCACACAAATTTAATTTAACATCACATTTGTGAAGTGGACTGGACTGATTATATCTCCACTTTCCAACAGAGAAAACAGAAAATCAAAGAAACATGTGATATGGGGTCTCTCCTGTGGCGCAGCGGGTTGAGCACAGGGCTGTGAAGCTGTCCGCAGGCTCTGCAGCACAGGTTCGATTCCCGGCCGTCCAGGGAGATTCCCACATGGCATGCAGACCTCTCCTGTCATGCCCGCTGCTCCCCTCAGCAGTTCATTTAGGTCTGTCTGCCTGTTCTGCTCCCCACTCAGTCTCTGGTGAATCCTCTCACCCTCCCACGCCTCTGGCCTGTCACCCCAGCTATTGTAGAAAGAAAGAAAGAAAAAGAAAAAAAGAAACAGGTGATATGCTCAAGACCATAATCAAATCAGATAGCATTGAAGTTGTAATCAGGCAAAGAAAGGACTCAAATCAGATAGACTTGGCTTCACATCAATAGTTTCCTTCTTCTAGCTGTGTGACTTAGGTAGAATAATTCACCTCTCTGAATCTCTATTTCTTAATTTACAAAATGGGGACATTAACCCATCACAAATCTGTTTGGAAAGTAAATGACATAAGTAACACAGTAAGCCCACTAATGGGCTATGTAGGAACACCATGGATATTCCTCTCATCCTATCTCTGCTCCAACCATTCTTTCCTCCCAGCCTCCTAGCCCAGTATTCTTACAGCCAGAACAATTATATAATTCCAGGTACAGACACAAATTTTATGGACTGATTTTAAGGCTGTTATACATTTCAGTGAATTTCTCAGTAACCCTGTCGGAGAATTCAAGACCCAGTAGGGTTTTCCACAGTCTAAATGCCAGATGTACTTATAGGAGGCCAAAGCATGTGTGATTAGAGTTGGGAGCAGCTACTGACTTTGCCAAATAAAATCTAAGACACCGTGGCTTTGTTGAAGGCCTCCTGTGAGAAGTATTTTTCACTATAAAAATGCAATTTTCGGTAGCAGGTTACAGTAGTCTTCATGTGCTCCAAAAAAACCACCAGTTTTATAGTTCATTGAGCAGGCTCATTTTGATATTAGTTGGTGTTTTCCCACCTATTGCTGACAGTGTTTATAGGTAGAGTATACCTCTCAATAAAACATGCTTAACAACTGGAATCTAATATTACAGCATTGGTGACAATGTTTAGTTAAAACATGGAGTTTGTTACAAGCACATAACATTATTATAATAGTGCCTTATTGCAATAGTGTCCCTCAATAATGCCTTATTGCAATAGTGTCCCTCGATAAATTCCTTCCTTACTAATGTCCAGACTTTTTTTGCTTTGACCACAATTACACTGGACTAATGTCTCTCTTCCTGATTAAAAATCTCATATCAACAGTTTCCTCAAACATGAGCACAAAAAATGAACAGGA